GCTTTGTGCTTAATTTCAAACAAACAAACATACATGTTTGGAATGTTATATGGTATGGCTGTGTATTCTTCTATATCTATTAACGTACTAGTGTTTCATTGTTAGCGTTAAAACACTGACTAATATACTGTACGTTAAAATATAACCTGTGTATTAGTGATCAAATAAAACCTGGTTAAAATATTTGACATAAAATTCCTCAAGAACTCTAATTTACATCAAACGTTGTTTAAAATTTTCACGTTGGATTTAGTTAAAATAATTGTTCAAACTCAACTAGATAAACATCTCCGGAAGTTAAGTCAGAATAAGGTTATCATAGTCACACCTTATTAAGCAGGTTCATCTGCAGGTACGGTCGAGATGTGTACTTAAAACTGAGATCAGGTTAACATCTTGTTCTTACTTTCAATAACAGACCGTATACTGTTGTACGAATTCAACCGCACGAGAAGTAACCAAGGGTTTATTGACTCTACCGCTAGAAGGCTCTGTTAAAAACTCCAGTCCGAGTTGAATCGCTAAGGAACGTGATATCGTGGCAGTGCTTTGATATAATTCAAAGTGTTCACAATAATTTTCAAGCTCGTGTCTTGGGACCTGTAGTAAGTCAGCAGGGCAGTGGTGAGTTGTGTATTGTGAGGAAAGAGGATGATTTATGTTATCCTTGGACTACTGCGTTCCTTCACACACTAATCCCAAAACTTCTTAACTACGAAACTTGTAAGATTGGGCTCCTTTACCCAGTTACTCTATGACCATTGAATCACCTGTTAAAAACATTCTTGGTCATACTGCACGGATAAACTATCTCTTTCATGAGCTGTTAGTTCTTCTGTTTTGGAGGTCCTTACCCAGTTTGGCAATAGTTACTCTCAAAAGTAAATTTGTTTGCTTTTATTAAACGCAAAACTACGCAATGGGCTATCTTGCTGTGCTCACCGTGGATATCGCAACAATGTTTAACATTAGAAGCCCTCAGGCTTACCGCTGAACTGCCGGGGGCCGCAGATAAGTAATCAACTTTCAATCTTGACCCACTTCATGCAAGGCTCTTCTCTAATCACTAATTACCTGTCACACTTATCCCTATTTACCCAAGAGTTACACCGTCACTCTAAGCCCACCTTACCCAAGACTTCTCTTTAATCAATGATTTAAAACAATATGATACCTGAACAAATAAAAATGACAGATCATCTGGCTCTGCGATCTTTTCATTCACTAGGACCTGGAATTTGATGGTTATTAACTCAGTGACTTAGCTTTTAAAAACTATGACCCCTAAACCAATATTTCACATGAAAGGACAGTTTGTTCGAAGTGATTTATCAGTCATTTATTTGTTTCTGTCGTTTGTCGAATACATTTTAAAACTCACAACATAGTTGAAGTAAAGAAAGTTTTAGTTGAAGGTTTAATAACCTGATAATATGATATATATTTATCTGGTTCTATATATATGGTAATATATATAGAGACCTGGTCAGTTCTAAATAACAGTAGAGCTGTGGTTCCACACACTACACGTGAAGAGACAAATCTTATTTGTAAAACCATTGTCTGTGATTGTCTCTTACTCACTTCCTGGTTCAGCCACTTTCTTGACGAAAAAACAAACAAACTCGC